ATAGTATCTGCATCCATAACTTTTTTTGATGTATTTGGAAAGTTGTTGCAATCAGGGACTCCATCTCAGTTGCAGAGGAGAGCAAAAAGGAAAAGTCTTGGGCAAGGTTCAAATACCCATTCTTGGATACACTCAAAATAGATTTTTTAAAATCTAGTCTTAGCCAGGTGCCATTAGGAAAGGACTTCCGGCTGATGACGGCACGCTAGACAGTCACATCTCCTGGATGTCCCGGGGATGCGGTCTGTGCATGGTGGGAAGGAGGGGGAGCGCTGGCCCGTTACCCCCCCCGGGAGCCTGGCGGAAGGCTCCTAGCCAGGGGACTTATGAGGAGTCACCTCTTCGCCTACGCATTGTGGGTGAATTGAGGCGCTCCTCCGTCCCAATGGTCCTTCCTGTGCAGTGCCCGAATGGGACCTAGTGACGCTGACCGGAGCAAGCGTAGGAGATCGAGCGGATGAAATGAAGTAAAGCAGGGTCAGAAGACCAGATATGAATTTGAGTCTGACTGAGCAAAACGACGATTAAAGAGAAAAAGAAAGCTCCCTACCCCATATGGAAAACGGAGAGTGAAGCAGGCGGGGGAGGGATGCCTCCTAACCGCATGAACTTCTGAGCGAATCGAGGGGGGGGGGCGGAAAAGAAGGCATGCATAACTGTTAATAAATACTTACCAAGGCGAGTTCAGGCATTTGAGTGGATACTCAGAGACTTTCAAAATAATTTTTAAAGTAAACAACTGAGAAAGATGGTGGGGAAAAGGACGGAGAAAGAAAAGCTTTCAAAAGCGGAACTTACTGAGAGCCTTAAACCGGAAGGAGCCAGCGATCTGGCAAAGACTTTGGCAGAATCCATGCACCCTCTACTGGACCAAATGAGTAACCTCAAGGATCAGATGTCGAAAATGACTGAGTGTGTTACCAAACAACAGACACAGATAACCGAGACATTGAAAATGATGAATGAAATGGCTGAAAAGGTGAAAGAAGTGGACGCCACTGCACAGAAGGTGAAAAAGAAAGTTC